CCACTTCTGAAGATGCAGCCACTCGTGCTTGCGAAACGTCAAGAAGCAATTCTACCCAACGACGGCCCAAAAAACCCGAAAAACTCATACGTTTCAAGGAATGGCCGCGAAAGTCGATCTCTTTTGTTTTACTACTTTGTTCAAACAACTAAAAAACTTCATGTAGATTTTCCCTGCAACAGAACTGAGTCCAAAGACAGTCGACGAATTTTCTTGTAAAATCGATCTCGTTTTTTTTGCATAAAAGATTCAGTTTGCCAGTATTTTACAGTAAAACGTTAAGAAAAACTCGGTTTTTCTGTTTAGAGGCAGTGTTGTTTAGAGATATTGACCTAAAAGTGAAGAAACCCCAGTTTCCAAGAGTTTTACAAATAAATGATTATAAACTTTCGCTTTTTCAGTTCAAAGAAATATTTTTGGAAAAATACCCAGAATTAATTATTAGGGTTTTGTCCGTAATTCGAAGCTGAAGCTTTTTCGCGTAAAAGTTCTCCAGATCGTCAGTATTTTTCACTGAAGTCTACAAAATAGAACGGTTTTGAGTAGAAAGTAAAGCAAAAAAAATTCGGTCAAAACTAAAAACACAAATTCTACAGTCTTCAGAGGAACGGAACTGACGAGATTTCAAAATAATCGGTTACAAACTTTCGCTTATTCTATTCGTTTTTTGATAGAAAATTATTTGATTTTTGTTCCAAATTCGAAGCTGGTGATCAACACTTTTTACAAAGCGACGAAAGATTCGAAATTTATTTCATAATTCTTCGCGAAAAATCCCGTGACATTGTCAGCATTTTTAAGTAAAACTAGAAACTTGACGAAAACTGGAAAATTCTGAAATTTGAAGACATTTTAAAAATATTATTAATAAATAAATGGCCTTTAAAATAAATCTAAAAAAGGGAAAAAAGTCATCAACATTTTCCAAGCAACGGAACTAAGTTACTGCGCCGGAACGGAACTAACTTACTTGCGTATTGAGTTGGCGCACCCAAACCGCAAGCCACTTGCGAAGCACTGCGCCAACTCCTAAAAAATCTCTGAGTTACCCAGGTTTAGAAAAAAGCGCAAGAGCGCAACAGTTTCCAAATAAAACAGAAAGAATCAATTGCGACTGTTATTAATCCACCAGAAACATACCGGCAAAAAGAATCAGTCACTTGAGAACTATTTACAAATTAACGGTGCCCCAATACACTTCCATCCTTATACCGAGCGTATTAAGTGCGTGTTAAATGAACATATTTCAAATAACCAAACAACACACTAGACCAATCATCCATGTAAATAAAGACAACCTTGCATAACATTTGCTTACCTGTGAACTACGTTCAATCAGCACTAGAATCCAAAAAAACCACGCCATATCGAACAGTGACACATATTTCGAAAAAACGCACAGTTTAGCAAAGAATCGAAACACACTAAGGCGCCCTTTGGCAAATGAGCGGCACGCAAACGGTTTAATTTTTATCGTGTTGTAAATCACATCTTTTCCAGGTACGTGAGCAATCAGACCCGCGGCGTTATACAGAGGACTAAAAAGAATGCCAATTACTGTTGATAAACTAGGAAAATTAACACCAAGAGTGCCAGATGTGTGGCCCGTTATCTAACATGTACCTATTAATTTGTTTGCTTGGCTAATTTTTCGCTCAGAACCGAAAAAAAAACAACAAGCGAAATTGTAATTTTCTGGTCGCCTAATTTCGATTGTTCTTTTCGCAATAATTTAAATAAACGCGTTCTATTTGTACAGCAAATTGCCTCGCGAGTTAATTCCAGATAAAAAATTAATGTTTGTTTGGCAAATAACAGCATTAATTACGAATCCAATTTGGCAATAAATATAAGTACCTGACGCTAATTTGGTCCGGGGTTATTAATGCAAAGGACTATTTGCTCGGTGTATCAGTGTGCGCCCAACATTCCAATAGGGATCTCGATGGAATTAATTGATAAATCCAACAGTACGGAATTACTTAGTATCTGCTTGTTATGAAAAGCCGGTCTATTCTGGGACGAATAATCGGAAACTAGCACTTAACACACAATAAGACATTAAATTCCAATAACAAATTCTGCCTTTATACCAGAAAGGTCTCGGCTTAGACCAGGGGATTCTTTCGAGATTATTGTAATTGATGAAATAATCTTCGCACTCGCATAGGTCAGCTGGATAGGCTTTAAACATGTCCAAATTGTAGCCAGTTAATGTACAGAGCGACTAAAAACTGGGATCACCATCCCCATAACATGAAATTTAATTTTTAGCTGCCTACAAGTTGAAATAAGAACGAACTGCCCATAAAAACACTACCAATTCTAAATCACGACGAGCGTTAAATGCCTTAAGGTCCTTAAAATGGGGCGTATAAAAACTCTTAAACTCATGCTAAAAGGGTTTGAGATCATACCTTATAACAAAGGCCTGGGGCCTAGTTGAATGATGACATCACTTTTTCTTCCATAAAATGTGCAAATTAACATGCTGACCACTGTCAATACTACCAATAATAATGGAAAAACGTCCAATTGACTCACTCACTCCGTTGAAACTGAATTTTCCACATTTCCCTGGTCTAAATGTAAATAAACAACAAGAACCCAACAGGTTAGGACAAGTGGTTGTAAAACTGGAGCGCGTTCATAGACAACCAATAATCGCGCAACAATTAAGGCGTGGCAAATATCAGGAAGGTACAAAATTAATATACTGGTATTTTCAAGGGTTTACAAAAGCAATAGGCAAGTTTTCCTTGGACGGTTCGCAAAATTCCCCCATTCTCTGTAACGCTTTCCGTATGTTTAAACCTTTTAAAATAATTAAATATACGAGTTCAATGCGCGCAGTTGGGCGCGCCCAATTTCAGTTTTATTCACGAACGCCATTAATCGGTAAATGTCACTTTTAAAAAGGCGTTGACAATGTCAATTTTAATAGAGGTTACGAAGGTTGTTTATAAACCAATACTTTATAAAATTGTGAATAACAAACTGCTGTGAAGTGAAACTTTATGAATAGCAGTACCCCAGTGCTTGACGCAATGAGAAAAATGCCGCCGCCTCGGCTTGAAATCCTGCCAACACTCAAGTAAACATTTCCCGATAAAACTAAGGGCAAATTGCAAATTGGTTCTCTTCACAATGAACAACCCATTAAAATAACTAAGGCACTCACCTGGCACTAGTCATCTGATCCTCAATGCTGTGATTGTTGCAATATTGATGAATCCAGGGATATATCACATACTCATCGACGTTGGAACAGAGATTCAGTACATAAAAGGAGACGATTAACATGAACAAATTGAATTCGTTGCCCTGACATCTGAAGCCTCTGGAGGCGATTTCAAAGGCCAATCGTCCGAGCCCTGCCCCCGGCACTAACACTTGAATCGTACTTCTATCACAGGTTTCTGCTGGGAAGTTTTCCACGATTTCCTTGATTATTGGCTGGTAGCACTGTTCTCTTTCACTTGCGCCTAAAGAGCTCCAGTCCCGCATCAGTTGCTTGAAAACTGATTGAACTTTGTCCAAACCTTCAAGGGAAAAAGTTGGAAATATTCACGCTCAAACTTGGTCAGTTGCTACCTTCGGCCAATGTTCCCACTTCTTCAGCCTGAGCCACTTCCATGGTAGAGTACACATTGTCGAACATTGTATAAGCGTGCTTTAGGACTTGCGGTATGAATTCCGCGTTCTTATCGACGCACTGTTTCAGTTTTTCTAATCCTTCGATGTATTCGGATAGCCATTTTTTGTGGTGTTGTGGCAAGGAATCCAGTGATTGTTCTCGTTGGGCTATTCTTTTGTGCGATTCTTCTCTGGAATGAATTATTAAACTCGATTTTTGACCAGTGCATTTGAATGGGGAGTTTAAGAGAGTTCTTTGTAGGGAGTGCCAAAAAAAGGCATTTTAAGACGGAGCAAACAAGATAATCATAGACCCGAAAGTGCTCTTGAATCATCATAAACCCCAACGGACCCATGTAATATGTAATATGTAATCTAATGTGAACCCATGTAATAAGTGATAACCTCAACCCTTGGTAGCTGTCACCAATGTTTGTAAAGAATCTCTAGCGCTTCACTAAAAATAGTCCCTACGATTGAGGATAAAGTGAAATGAATCAACCCCGGCTGCGTTGGTGAAGTAAAAGAAAAGAAAGGGACTCGACTTACCTGTAGCTCATAAAGGTATTTATGACAGAGAGAAAATACGCCCTTTCTTCCTGTATTTTCTCAGCGGCGTTCATGCTGAATGGCCAAAACTACCACTTTTAAAGTGACCTACTTAACGAAAATAAGAATAAATTAATTTTTTTTGAATGAACCTAAGCATAACCTAACTCTCTGAAAACCGTAACAGGACCCATAACCTCAAAAATCGAGGGGCCCCATAATTTTGCAAGTTTCAGATCATTTCAGCAAAAAACGGAGCCCAAGAACCAACTATAGATAATTTTAGATATATTAATGAAATAGGTATCTAGTGATATATTATTTTTTGGGCACGGCAACCAGCGTAAAAGACATTGCTTAGAATTAGTGGCAATTTTCCAGTTTATCAAACCCTCGCATTCGGAGTTAATAATGTACTCACCTTATAGATAATCTCTTTACTGACGACTTTTATTAGTGATATTTCTTGGGAACTGAGGTGTTTTATCACTCGTATCTAAATCGGAGCGGTTTGCTCTTTCCAAAGGAATGTGGGAAATATCTGAGGAAAGCAAAAGGATCTTTTCATAGAGAATATCTTTGTGGGCGTATATTTCAAAGCAAATAAATTACTCGGACTCGTATGCAAACACTTTGTTGCAGAAAGACAGTCGCGTCCTTTTTTATCTCATGGAAAGGTAGCCAATTGTATCAGTACTTCTCTCTCCTCTTTTGATGGAAAAGCAGTCAAGAAAAGCGAAATCTTATATTTTAATATAACGCGCCTTTGTCTTCAGGATATAGGAAATAGATCGTCACTATTCCTTTATTAGTTGCTACGGCTTCTTGATGCTTTATTAAGTATATTGCGGCTATTCCATACGCCAAGCAGGGCAAACCTAAAATACCGATTTCTAAGTAGATCAAACTTTAACCGAAGTGTGATGTTGGTGTTTAATGGGCCGTTGCCTTATATTCAAAAAACTAAAAAATCAGCTGCTTTTTCAACCATAGTACTTATATTTACCTAAATTGATAACTTTGATTACCCTGTAAAAAGAGTCTTCAAAGGTGAGATCTTCCAGTTTTCTCTTTGTGCAGTGGTACTTAATGAACGGGTAGCAGCCAGTGCGCAAAATATGATAATTCGACTTGCCAACTTGCCAGTTAAAATGCGATCTTCCCCATTGATCATCCCTTATGCTGCTGTACTAGAAAACGGTTCTCACTCAACATAATTTCATTGGATAAAAGCGCATTTGCACACTATAGCTTTAAACGGAAAAAGTGATTTGAACTTGAAGTTTCGGAACACAGTTTCATGTTTTCCACATGGAAACGCCACTACAACCTGTTGCTGGTTAAGTTGTTAACAATGTTTTGTACAACAAAAGTAATTTTGCACATAATATTCGCTTTAACTCAATTGTAAGTAAGTTTCGCAAAAAGTTCTTGAACGCAGCTCTTTGATGATTGCGCAATTCACCAATATTTAAAACGCGTTCATCACAAAGCTTATGAATAAAGTGCGATTTTTTCGCATTAACTGTCCCTGAGAGCCTGTAATTTAACGAAATAATCAAATTACTTTTATAAAATAGGACGTCCAGGGGGGCTCGTTGCACTGTCGCAAATAGCAGCTTAAAACCTCCGAAGATGTTGGAAAATTTGCTTTTCTTCCACTATTAAAAAACTTTAATAGTCTTCCACTCATGTTATTGTTTAGTTTAGCAAATTACATCATAGATAGGTTATGTGAATGAACTCGGCACTGTAGGAAAAATGAATTTTTAATTAAAAAATACTTTGCTTTAAAAAAAATCTTGTAAATGCCTGTGTGAATGCCGTTTAAGTTCTGAGCTGCTAAGTTTTATTTAGGCTATAGAGGACAGGAGGACTCCTGGCTTGTGATGTCATAGGCAAAAATTTTAATGAAAATTGACGCCACCCAATTTTAGAGTTTTAATCTGTAGCTTTGTTTCTACACCCTACACCTACACCCGTTGACATTGATGTGAACATGACGTTTAAACAATTGTCAACAATTAGTATGGTGGATTTCTTCTAAATTAGTGAGAAAAAACACAATAAAGTCGAGCTGGATTGACGAAAAACCGTACGGATGTGAAAGCAGAACCTGTGAAACTAGTGCCAGCTCTAAGAGACATTGGACGATTTCTAAAAGTGCGTGTGTTTGATTATATGTGAAGATTGCCCAATGAATCGCCTACTGTCCTATTTTACTTTTGGTGTTTTCCGTTAATTGGACTATTTTGCTCGATTTAATTCACTGGGAGTTTGCAGAATTCATTCCCAATGGACAAGGAGCGAGAGCTGTTGATTCACGTGTCGTCTGGTAAGTCTGGGGCTTGTTGCTGTTGGGCCCCCAAACTTACCGTAGTGGCCCTTCACGGGCCCTATGAAAGGCTTTAGGCGTTAGAAACCATTTCAGGCCCCAAAATTTGCTTGCATTGCTCATCAAAGGTTGTAGGTTTTGGGGCTACTCTCCAAAGTCTTCTATGCATTTTCATGCTCATGCAAAGTGTTCGTTAATATAGGTATAATTAATTATTAAACGGTAAACTCATAGTTTAATATAAAGTGAGGGCAGAAAGTCCGATTGGGTCGATAGCCTTTTTCTGTAGGAAATAAAGATTATTTATATATACATATATAAAGTGATTCTCACACAACATATGCAGTGGCAACAGTCGTAAAGTTGAAACGAACGCCAAATTGTCCAAATACTTTCAACCTATTGACCATCAATTTCAGGGTTTAACATTCAGCATTCGATCACATGCAAAAGAGTAAAAAACTCACTTAAATCAATGTTATGCTTCGCATGCAACCCAAAAGTCCAAATCTTGTATAAGATTTGCAACTGGTTTTGACGATAAATTGTTTTTAAATAAACTAAGAAATAATCCTTAGAGGAAACCTCTGTAAGTGATCTTTATCAGTTACAGTTATGTTTGCTCTCAAGTTTTCCATCGAGGCAAAGTGGTTGATTAAAAATATGTTTATTTGTACCGTTTTTTTTTAATAACCGCCTCTGCTGCTATTTTCTTTGTGTCTACCAGTTTTCCAATTTTTCCTTGTTTGACTGTATGAAGGTTGATTTGGTGCTCAGTAAAAGAGCCCTAATGGTCGATGTACGCGTGTCTTACAATATACAGGGCGATGCATTTTATTAAGGACGTCAACGAACACGCGCCTTAAACGAAAGTTAGGTAAATAAAATCAAACTCTTCATGCGTGATTCTTCAAACGTGATGATTTGAGTATTTCCTAAAAACAGTAAAGTTGTGGGGAAAACAAAAGTGAAACTGGTGAGTTTTTCGGTCTTTTATGTCGTCGTGAGAAAAATTCTTCCTTTCGCATCTTCAGAAGTACATTCGCCGCCGAAAAGAACAATCCTCTAAAGATTCATGTGCTTGCAAAACCGTCACAAAGAAATTATCCGCTTTTCCAGAGCGATCTAAAGGCCCGAAAAGCCATTCAATCGTTTCAAGCAATTGCCGCGAAAGTCGAACATTTTTGAGTAATCAAAACTGTTAAAATATACTGGGTGTTCCATGAGAAAAACACTTGTGTTTAGCCCCGCAGGAGTTGTTTAATTAGCTATTAGGAATCAGTCCCCAACCGTGTTTGCATATACAGGGTGATTCTCCGGTTGGAATAAATATTTGAAAAACTGTGGTAGTTGTGGCAAACCCAATATCTACTTTTAACGCCCTGACGCACGGAAGCAAATCTTTTGAATGTTTTTCGAAGTTCTACTACCTCTGAATTGAACCACCGTGTATAGAGCGTGGTGGCAAAGCGATATGTTGCAAAAGAAACTGCGATTTTGCACTGTGAACAGGCATCTTAATTAGGCATCGTTGTCTCTCGGTCTACAGGTTGTTTTCCCTATGCAAGAAGAGCGTTAATGGAATGGAGCTAAATCCCTGGATCTGGGAGTGGAGACGCGTGCGTCGAGCAACATCGATCCAGGCGCCTGGACGTCCACCCGGCCGGGAATTTTGATTTCTTAGTGTCGCTCCGAGACTTGGCCGGAGTTCCACGTTTGGGTCGTTTTTTATCGAGAAAAACAAAAAAGCTTCTCATCATAGTGGATTTGTACAACAGGTACCTATTGGCTAATAGTTGTGGCTTTTTTATCAGTTTTTTTCGTTTGCGCTGTTTGTTGCTGCAACGTTTGCTGGTGCTCCGCAGCGGAGCTGTTGCTTGATTGCGATTTGTCTGGTGAGAGTGGAGAGAGTGCGTTTGCTTTTTTTGCCTTTTTTGCCTTTTTTGTTGTTGTTTTAGCTGCACTTTTTGCATTTAAATAATTTAATCTGCCGTTAAACGCGACTAAGCTTTATATCATCAGCGTCTAGGGCGCAATTTTTAGAGCACTGAGCTGAACCTTTCTGGTAAATACGATATGTTGTAAGAGCCGTCCTTCTGCTCGTCTCTTAAAGCCCTCAAATTGCCTTCAAAACCCCAAATTTTCAAATAATTCTACTAAGCTTCATTTAAATGGAGTACAGTGCGTGCAAAATCAGTTTATAGGTAAACGTTAATGACGAATAATCGAGAAAACCAATAGTAGATGGGGGCAAGCGATAATATTTAGAACGGAGTGAATTATCAGCAGTTGATGCTCTAGCGGCCCACGTGTGTTAGAAGAATGATTAATAAAATAAAGAAACAATAATTAAGGTAATAGTTTAGAGAAATTCGAACGAAAATAAACGTAGAACTCGTGTTTAAACGATTGCTCATCGAACAAACCGCGACGATACTTTATTATAAACGCTGGGCATTTCAGTGAATTTTCGTACTGGAGTGAAAACCCAGCTGACGAGAGCGAATGGGTTCGAATCCGGTTCGGGGGGTGCCTGAGATTCGCACATCTCGACCTGCACCGTACCTTTTGCCGAAAGCTTCATTGTTCTCGCAACAAGGCATTGCCGCTGAAGGTTATCCGACATTTATGGGGAAATTGGGTCAAGAACAACCCCAACACTTGTTTACCCGCCTTTTCCGCCAGGGGCCGAAGCGACAATGCGCTTGAGAATTCAGACAGTAAAGCCCCCTTCAAATCAAGATTAATGCTTTTAAAGTGGGCTTTTAAAGAGCATCGTTGTTTGCCCGGGTTGTTTTTTATGAGCCAAAAGTAATTTTCGGACACCCTGTACGCGTACAGTTTTGAGCGGAACGCTCAATGATCAGCAAGTAATGGAATTTTTTAAATTTGAATTTAGCAATTCGAAGTGAAATGAATCGAACGCAAAACGTGACTGTCTACTAACGAACGTAAAACATAAAATATTTATTCCAGATAATAAGCACCTAAACACATGCGTTGAAAAAATAATGAGACTCGTATTTTTTCGGTGTCAATCATTGGGACGCTTGGATGTGGCCGATTTATTGGGGGATTTTGCGATAATCCAGAAACAACATAAACCAGTCAGAAAGCTCATTTAAATAGTGCTCAGTGGGGCTGGATTTCAATGACGCAAAAAATTGCTCATATACAGGGTGATTCAGAATTGACTGAAACTCCACTGTTTTCGGGTGTTATTGGGGAGTTTCTTAATGGCACGCAAATAATCACATTTTACATTATCGATTGCTGAGGTGGGGCTTCGACAAACTGGCTTATTGCTAGTTCTTTGTCGAACATTTCTTTTGTTCAGTTGAGTCCGGATATAACGAACTTGAAAAATGAACTAAAACTGGTTCGTTATATCCGGAGTTCGCTATAAGCGAATCATAATACAAAAACACGTGGTGTATTTTATTTCGTTATTTTTACATAGAGTAGTAGAAGTTAGTAGGTATGACTAAAAAGAACACAAAAAGATAAACAAAATTCAATTTGAAATCTACTTCATAAAGTCTGTAATTTTTGTTTGTACATTTCTGCTGCAAAATTAGAGTTATTTATGTAGTTTTCAAGATCACAAAATGACTCCCAGATATGATTAGGAACTTGGCGTGATTGTAGAAAATTCCGAGTTTCTGACACTTTTTTGTCATTTCAGAAATGGTTGGAACAGCATTAGTATCTACAGTAGAATACGTTTCACCTAAATCGTCATCTTTCTCATTATCGCTTAAAGCTGTAGATGAGGTTACGGAGTCTATAATTTGCTCATCGGTCA